GGAAATAAAGTGCTGAAAAGTTTATATAACCTTTATATAAGACCAAATCTTTTTCCTTTTATTTTTTTAATCAGTTGATTTTCTGTTCAGTATTTTAGATTTGTGGTTGCTTTGCAATTACCAGGCAAAATGCAGTAGGAAAAATATGGAATCGAGTGATTATTTTATATTCAGCCACCACAGGCAGATTTCTCACTGTGTAGCTCTTAAGTCCTGTCCAATCACTTTCCATTATATTCAGTTTTTTTTATTTTGGCCTCCCTAAAATGCTTCAGCTGTGTTGTTTATATTTGTGTTGAAATCCTTTTTTTGGAAATTGTCTTCTGATGAATACAGAAGCAGAGTTGTTCACTAGCCTGAGCTTGGGCCGATTTTAAATCAGTATTGCTTATTTGCTCTGCCAAGTAGGTTTGTCTGTTTGTCTGTTAGTCAGCAGCATTACACAAAAACAACTGGACGGATTACCATGAAACTTGGTAGAAGGATGCGGTGTAGGTCAGGGAAGAACATTTAATGTTGGTGCAGATTCGGATCAGGGGGCATATACAGCACAATTTTCTTCACTTTAACATTGCGAGATACATTTATTTGGGCAGGACATTTTCACCAATTTCCCAGGGAACAATTTATCGATCTTGATGAACTCAGCCATTTTGTGTTCACACACAGCCCCTCCGGAGTTCAGTGCGTGTCTTAAAGCAGCTTATGGATGTGTGAAATTTGGTAGAGCTTAATTGAATTTAAGGGACTGTTGGCCTTGGCTAAGGTATGCGCTCTACTGAGTTCCCTTCTAGTTTCTATATCCTGTACAGTAATTCTAATGTTGTTTGTGTGCATTGCTATCAACTCAGCCTCTAATTAGCATGCAGATGGAAGGTACCTGATTTGTGTTTACAAATATTACAAGCACCTACTAGCAAACTAGAGAAGGTATTGACTTAATGCTTTTGGATAGTAAACAGTAGATGATTTGAGATGAGGTTAATCACATCCCTCAGAACTACAGCTCTCATCATTTTGCAGAATCGCCAAGTCTCCCTTGACCTCCTCAAGAGGAGCATTAGACAGCAGCATTCTTCCTTTCTGAGGTCATCCACCCCTTGTCCTCTTCACCACCACTTTCCACAACAGCAGTTAGACTTCAGGGATAGATGCGAGAACAGTCTTGTCAGATAACGACTACGCCCACACTAAAGATGGATAATTCTGAAAGTACTGTTTACTTGTGAAAACAGCCAGCATTTTCAGGTCATTTTTGTGGACATCAATGAAGCGCCAAAGGAAAAGGAACAAAAACATTTCCTCTTGTCCCTCCTTGTCTTTTAGTTTGCAAACAATCAAAATTTGAAATACTGACATTATTAAGTGTTGAGACCATATGGACTGTTTTGTTGTGTTTGAGTCAACCAACCATATAGTTGTCACTTGGCAGTTAGTCAAGTTTTATGCTCCTTAAATGTAAGGATGTGCTGCCATCGGTTCTTGTTGTTGGTCAGACAAGAAATTAGAAAAGGTTACTTTTTTGTGGGGTTTTTTTTTCAAGACCGTTATCTTTTAGTTTGAGAGCAGGGCTTATACTTCTATATTTTTTTCTTGGACAGATTTCCTGTGCTCCAGCTTCAACTCACTCTCATGCTGCTTCTGTGCACGTGTTAAATGTCAGCTCTCGGATTTCTCCACTGCTCTTAAATTTGTTTGTCTGCACATTTTTCTGTGCAACTAGTCTGTTAAAATTCCCTAACAAATACAATGCTAGGTATAGTGTTGACAAATGAAACTTAATAATCGAACAAGACAAACTACTGTACCCGAGCAGATCATTACATTTCGACTATAAACTCCCCCGTCTTCATGTTCGAATTTTGAATAAAAAGTTAAAGCTTTAATATACAGAATGCCAAAACGCATCCGCCAAACACATTTAATCAATTTGCTGTTGTGTGGTCTACGTCATGTGCTCTTTTTGTGTCTCTGTGCAGCTTACATAAATGTGCTTAAAGTAAGTCACTTTACCCTCCTTTGTGCATTCTTTTGTGTTATTGCAGCCTTGCTTTTCCCATTGGTTCTTTTTGGCGGTACAGTAGTGACGGTCAGGTTTTTTGAACGTAAGCTGAGCCATGTATATAGGGTTGCGAAAGGAGACTGCACACCCTCCCCCTGACAGATTATAATATACAGAGATGTGTCTTTCTGTCTGCCAGACTCACTCTGAATACAACCAGAAGACAGAAGCTATACACTCACTGCCTAAATGATTCAAGCAATATTCAACACATGTGCCAGCTGGACAGAGAGGACAGATGGAGCCTTCTGCACCACTATGTTCATTACATATATTTGTGAGTCTCTCTTGCTCAATACAAAGCATTGACAAAACATCCTGTTGGCCACTTCCTGCCTCTTCTCTCTTAACTTCCTGTTTATGCAACTTTTATGAGTCCCTAAACAGAACAGGTTTTTTTTCAGTCCAACATGCCTTGGTCAGAGATACCTGGTAGGACTGGTTAGAGGAGTTCTTCTTGTTGTTGAGTTTGTTTGCTAACTGAACCAGACAGTTTGTTTTGGGATTGGCTAACACAGAAGGATTGTCTGCCTGCCATATCAAAATCTAACTCTATTATAGCATGACATCTATGGTTTATGTGGTCCCCTCCCACAGTTGAGGTTGGCAGTCTATTCATGGGCTGACTCTCCCTAGCTAGCTTGCGTTCCTTTTCATATTCTCCTTTTTGCTTATCTTGTTAGTCAAGTTTCATGCAGTGAGGAGAGTAAGGTTTCAACCCTGTCTGTTAGCTGAGCAATATCATTTTACTGAGACACACAAAGGCCCCAGCAGTGTTCCCTAAATGGACAACCAACTGCCACACTATGGGAGACACAACCTTGTGCAATTGTTCGTTTGTGTAATTCAGTAATCCACATGTGATGTGATATTTTTGGTTCACGTGATGATGAATAATAGACAGTGTTGTGTTTAATTTCTCCAAATTTGATCTAAATCATCTTTCTTTTAATTTTCAGGATCACATACTTCATGACAGCAAAATCATATCTAACCCTATACTTTATATTTTAGCTAGCTATGGCTAATTCTAAACTACTGGAAATCTGTTCATTGCTCTAAAAGCAGTACTTGCCAGTGGCAGTATAGCACTACTGCTGTGTTAAAGCAGCAAACAATAAGTGATTACTGAGAATAGAGAATTGCAGTTTGATGTTGGTGAAACTAATATACTTTAAAGATGTGGTATCGGTTGGTTATATAGATTTGCATAGTCGTTAATGCAGAACATGGGGTTTTCTGCAGTATCAGATGCATTTCTGATGCTGGTATTGGTTCCAGAACATCTCTAAAACAAACTGGTCTTTCTGCATTTTGTGCCAACTGGAGTCTGATCCATGTGACAATGACTCTTGTATTAGTAACTTTGGCCTTGTTGGTTTTTTTTCGTCGCAGTCCTCTGTGTGTGTAATAGCTGCCTTCCTGGTTCCCCATCTTGTAAACATAGTATGGAAAGGCAAGCATAGCACTTTTTTCTCTTCTGCTGCCCAAAAAACATGTTTGGACTGCTTCTGTGGTTCCTGCTGTTAAAGTCTTAGCAGGAGGAATGTGTCTAAATGGCAAATGCTTTGGAGAACGTGAGAGTGTATCAAAGAGGGGTGGGAGCACATTAGCTGTAAGTGCTCACAGATGTTAGTGAAAGTTCATCAGCTCTGTACTTGTGACTGGAAAAATATTTTCCTGGAAATCTTTAAGCCACCGGAAGCATGAACCGCCATGCTTCCTTCTGGCCTTATTTACTTGTGTTTTTGTGGCCTTGAGCAATGAGACCATACTTGGAATGAAAAAATGTGCCACACAAATAATGCTCAGACCGTTCCATTGTTCTGCTGTCTTCTCTTTACGTGCACATGTGAATTTGCTGGTTATTTCGCTGCTTTAGGAGTCTGTATCGTTGACAGTGTTTTTTTGTAGTGAGCTGTGGGAGTTGTTTCCCCTCACTGATGAAGTGTTGCAGTCCTGTGTAGCTTTACCCTCCATAAGGGTCATCAAATGGTATGTTGCCACTGAAAATAATTGCTGGGTGTGTCTTTGTGGAGCAGCTGCTTTTGTCCAGTAGCACCGTGTCTCCAGTAAGCCTGGCATGCAGGCAGGCATGTGGTGACCTTGGCAAGGCCATGTTGAATTGAAATGTACACCAGATATTTCATAATAACTGTGGGTCTGCCAAGTCACACCCTCTTTCCTTTCCTCTCGATTTGGGCTGATTGGCTTGGAGACAGGCAGACATAAACACACTGCCTGTTGGCCCCTCCCTTCCTCAGGGGCAGCTGGGTAATAACAAAAATTTGCCCCCTCCTACCACCCAACATCTCACATACTGGACTACATATGTGTAGTAAGTAGTATGTGAGCGAGTATGTTTTTTCTTGGGCTGTGGAAATATGAAGTGTGAGTTGCATTGGAAAGACTAGATGTAAATTCAATACTTCAACTTTTTTTACTTAGGTCTGACATATCAAGTAATTTAAAGACACCAAATAAACATTTTATAAATAGTCTGACTGTAGTGATATATTTAATGTGCTTTTGAAAGTTTGTCAGATATATACTGTATAACTCTCATATGAAATGAATGCAGTTTAGTTTACATGACTAGTGTTATTATCGTTTGTAGTCACAACAAGAGATGATCATCCATCTACTAGCTCTACCTCTTTTCTTTTTGTGGGTCACAATGTGCTAAAGCCAATCCCAGCCGGCATTTGGCGAGAGGTGGAGTAAACCCTGGACAGGTCGGCAGTCTGTCACAGGGCTGATGTACAGAGACAAACAACCATGCACACTCACATTCACACCTACGGACAATTTACCCAATTCATGTTTTTTGTGGGTATAACACTCATAACACCATAACACAACCATTACTCTCCCCTGTCATAAGTTTCAGTAAATTACATTTGTGAATGAACATGTAGTGTTTATACAACTCAATAAACTTAACTTTGCTCCTTTCTTTTCTTTTATCGTTACAGAGAAACCAGGTCCAGAGCGGAAGCGAATTAAAAAGGAGCCTACCAACACACGGAAGGCGGGCTTGCCGTTTGGGATGGGGATGCCAGGGATCCGGGCCGGGTACCCCCTTTCTGAGCGGCAGCAGGTGGCCTTGCTCATGCAAATGACAGCTGAGGAGTCCGTCAACAGCCCAGGTGCGTGCTTATCATGGAGGCCACGTCCTCTGTGGACGGGTGGCAGAAGAGGACAGGGAGGGAGCTTTATGTTGAGTGTGTATGTGTGTGTGAGCTCTTGTACAGCTATCTGTGCGTGCGTGTGCTGTAGATGAATGGTCTTGAAAAGAGATGTGGATGGGGCTGATTGTTTTTGTTTTGTTTTTTTTACTCTGCATCTTGAATCTAGTTACACAAACTAATCCACATTAATTCTCATTACAGCTACAATGTAGAGCCATGCTGTCAGTGAAAGTGGTTGTTTTTGTAGCAGCTGTAATAGTCACATATTGGTTCATCAACAGCAGTGAAACTCTTTTCTAGAATACAGCATGGGGCCATCAAGGAAATGAAACTAAACTACCCTGGTTGGTATTGCGTTAGACTGGAACTAATGGCGCAATTTCACAATCTGAGCCAAATCACAGCCAGACATCCAGACACAAAGCTCCTGCGAGGATTTAGTTTTTGTTATAAATCATATCTGCTGATAGATGGTAGATCTGCCTCAGTTAATTACATTTACAACCTACTTATCCTCTCAAATGGTACATTTATTTTTTTGTTGAGTAAGTAATTTGTCGATGAATGTATTGGACTCTTAAAAGTATTATTGTTATACTTTTTCTCTCAGTGTTGACATTTGAGATGAGATTGAGTTGGTGAGGACCAATGCGTCGCCACTTTTATTTATATGTAAATTCCTCTGTTGCATGCCTGTCGGCATGGATAATGATTAAGTGGGTCTGTTTCAAATATTATTTGGGACAATAGTGATATAAACTCAATAATGTAAATGTGATTAAGTCTTGGGTTTAATCTTGTAAATGTGATGAAATGAGTGAAGTAGGTCCAGCCACTCTGCTGCTGACTGGTAGGGAAAGACTGCCCCCCTCTGGCTGAAAGCAGTTCCGATATATTGATATTCATAGAAATCATAATAGTATCAATAAAATCGTTGTCTTAATATATGTGACCTACAAAACTCTTTTAGTGTTAAAGTACTATTTCAATCTCCGTTCAACAGACACAACACCAAAGCATCAGTCGCAGTCCAGTATGGGTCAGAAGGGAACTCCAAACTCTGCATCTAAAACCAAAGACAAAGTGAATAAACGTAATGAGAGAGGAGAGACGCGGCTGCACAGAGCAGCAATCCGTGGAGAGGTACGCCGCATCAAGGAGCTCATTAGCGAGGGAGCTGATGTGAATGTAAAAGACTTTGCAGGTGAGAAGCTCTTGTAGAGACTGTCCTTTACTTTTTGCGTGAAGCAATATATGTTACTTCATATACTGCATACAGCCCTCTTACTGAAATTCTTCATTGTTTAGGCTGGACTGCATTGCATGAAGCGTGCAATAGGGGGTACTATGATGTGGCCAAGCAGCTGCTGGCAGCCGGAGCAGAGGTCAACACCAAGGGTCTGGATGATGATACCCCTTTACACGATGCATCCAACAATGGGCATTTCAAGGTAGCAAAAATAAACACTCAGTCAAATCGGATCATGTCTGAATTCTGTCAATACTATTATCGCACTAGTAAAGCTTTAAAGAACATTTTAAAATTTCCAAAGACTCTCATTATGAAGTTTATTAATACAGTCAAATAGTAACTAAGGTTATTGTTGCATTAACTTTAATGTCCTGAGACACTATATGTAATATAAATATTCTTAAATTAAAGAATATATTATTTTAATATTTCATTTTATTTATTTCAGGTTGTTAAGCTTCTCTTACGGTATGGAGGGGACCCACGTCAAAGCAACAGGCGAGGTGAAACACCACTGAAGGTTGCCAACTCTCCAACTATGCTGAATCTATTGCTGGGGAAAGGCACTTACACTTCAAGTGAAGAAAGTTCATCAGGTAACGAATAACAAAAGTTTTGTGTCACCTATTTACATGACTGTTACAAGTGATTCACAAGTTATTCATGTAGATGAGCTGTAAAATTGTGTTTTGATTGTGCCTCTCTTTACTTTCCACAGAATCATCAGAGGAGGAAGATGCCCCCTCATTCGCCCCGTCCAGCTCTGTCGATGGCAATAACACAGACTCAGAGTTTGAGAAGGGCCTCAAGTTGAAAGGGAAAACTATGGACCCTCCTAAATCTGCAGTCACACCAGTCAAAGATGAATATGAATTCGATGAGGATGATGAGGAGGAACGTGTACCTCCAGTGGACGATAAACACCTCTTGAAAAAAGACTTTCGTAAGGATCCTATTACCAAGCCCAACAGCTTCATCTCCATACCCAAGATGGAGGTCAAAACCTATTCCAAAAGCAACTCGCTCACACCAAAGAAAACTGTCAGGCGGATCATCTCTGACAGTAACAGTTCAGATGAGGACGACAGGACGTTGTGTTTCACGCCAGCGCCTACGCCGCGGCAACAAGCCCAGCAAACAAATACCAAGGCTAGAGACTCTGGCTGCATGAGCTCTAAACAACAGAAAGACAAGAATAAAGTCAAAAAGAAGCGGAAGAAGGAGAGTAAAAATAATGTCAGTAAAGAAGTCAGGTTTGGCAAAGTCAATGACAAATTCTGTACATCAGATTCTGACTGTGGAGACATGGAGAGTGAGGATGACAAGGGCTCAAATAGTATAAAGGACTCCTCTGCAGTGAGCCTGAAAGAATCCCCTGGCTTTAACGCATCCTCCTCCTCTTCCCATGGTAACTTGAACTCACAGAAACAAGCACCGTCATTAGCAGAACAGCATCCAAAGCAGTGGAGGACAGATGGATGGAAGACCGTGTCCTCTCCCACATGGTCAGACGTCAGTTCTCTCTCTGATTCAGTCAGAACAAGACTGTCCAGTGAGTCTGACTACTCCTCCGCTGATTCCAGTGTAGAGTCAATAAAACAAGTCAAGAGGAAAGCACAGGAGAGCAAAAAGAAGAATAACAATGTGCACAGTAACGTAGTGGACAAGAAAAATTCTGAGCTCTACAAAAACTCCAATGCAGAAAGTGCGGTCTCGAAAACTGACGTAGATGGCAAAGTGCTGAAAAAGCATAAAGTGAAGCACAAGCACAAAAATAAGGAAAAGGACAAAGCTCCTAGTCTAGTGCTTAATCAAGACATGAATGAGAAATTTGTCAAGAGCTATTCTTTCGATTTTGATGATTCAAGGCAGAAGTCCCTAATTGTTGAGTCAGAGTCACCAGCTGAGAGCAAAGTCAAGTTAACCAAACACGAAAAAGATCATTCGAAAAAGGAGGACAGGCTTTTGAAAAGTAAGTCTGAGGACAAGGATTGGTCGTCTGGGAAAGACCTGCACAGAACGACAAAGGAAGAGAAAAATAAGAAAACTAAGGACTCCACCAAGGACAAGACAAGTAAGGAGGAGAGGGAGAAGCCTGTAAAATCTGACAAGGAGAGAAACATCAAAGAGAAGGAGAAGCCCAAGGAGGATAAACAAAAAGCTCACAAAGAGGAGAAGAAGAAAAAGTCCAAGGAGAAGTCCTCCTCAAAGGCAGACCGGAAAAGTGAGCAGAAAGAGGAAAAGCATCTAAAGGTGGACAAGGAGAAAAACACCAAGGAGGAAAAAGAGAAATGTAAAAAAGACAAAGCACAGAAGGAAGAGTCTGAGTATGAAGACTATGACGTCAACAACCGATTCCTCAACCTTGAGGACACAAAGCTCAGTGCCTCCGATGACCATCATGACAGATGGGGCTCCGAGATGTCCTCTGACTCCTCCCTCTATGAAGATGACAGTTGGGATGCTCCCATTAAAGAGTACAAGGAATACAAAGCGAACAACGCTGTAAAACTCATTGTTGAGACTGTTAAGGAAGAGACGAGGAGGAAAGAAAACAAAGTCAAGGACAAGAAATCGGATCACAGTGAGAAAAGGTCAGAGAAAGAAGCCACATCTAGAAAGAAAGACTCATCAGAAAAGACTAACGAAAAGAAAAAAGACTGGTCTGAAAAACAAAAATTAAACTTGAGTCACTCAGTTGAAAAAGAAAAGAAGCGTAAGGAGTCCACAGAAATGGTCAAAGACAAAAAAGACAAGGATTCTTTAGACAACACTCGAGACCGTAAAGATTCATATGAGTCCATAAAGGAAAGAAAGGACATGAAAATCAAACAGGAATCTATAAGAGACGATTATGGCAATGATACTTTCTTTAAAGACAGTGATGCTGCAAAATCATGTGATATCAGAGAAAGAAACTATTCTGGAAAGGAGAAAGAAAAGAAGGGTGATGCAACAGAGAAGAGAGAAAAGACAAAAGCAGACAAGCACAAAGACAAAACAAAGGACAGAGGCACTGATCAGGAGAAAAGTGAGAAAAGCTCGACAGAAAAACCTGCAAAGGAAAAGGATACAGACCGGTGCACCAAAGACAAGAAGGAGGGAGCCAAAGACAAACACAAAGAGTCTCATGGCAAAGAAAAAGATCGAAAGATGTCTTCAGAACAGATCAAGGAGAAGAAAGAAAAGGCCTCTCAAGACAAACACACTGAAAGGGAGAAAGATTTCTTGGAGATAAAGAAAGAGGAAAGAAAACCAGAGAAAATCCGAGAGAAAACGTGGTACAAGATTGCCGACGTATTCACTGATGAGAGTGACGATGAGGAGGACAGCTACAATGGTGGTGTGCTTGTGTCTGACTCCATCAGGAAAGACTCAACCCCTGATCAGGACGAGCTGGATCATTTTCCTTTAGAAAAAATTAGAAAATCTTCTGTGGAAGCTAAACATAACACTGAAAAGGCAAAAGACAAAGACCACAAAGAAAAGAAGAAAGAAAAAGCTACATTTGACACAGGTAAAGAGAGGAAAGGCTCCCTTGAGAAACACAACAAGGACAAGAAGGACTGTGTGGATGCAAAACACAAGGAGAGAAAAGACCGAATGTCAGTAGACTCAAACCAAGAGAAGAAAAATAAGCAGAAGCTCCTGGACAAAAGGGACACGAGTGAGGAAAAGACAAAGAGTAAATATAAAGACAAGCTGGACCACTCAAAGGAAAGGAAGCCATCAAAAGCCAGTGGTGAGAATGAAAAGTCCCTTTTGGAAAAATTGGAGGAGGAAGCGATGAATGACTATAAGGACGACTCCAATGATAAGAATAGTGAAATCTCCTCAGATAGTTTCACTGACAGAGGTCACGAGCCAGTCCTCACTAGTTATTATGACTCCATCAGTCTGACTGACATGTCTGAGGACAGGCGAGACTCCCTGTCCATATCTACACCCCAGGACAAGTTCAGAGAGAAAGAAAGAAATCGACATTCCTCTTCATCCTCATCCAAGAAAAGCCACGACAAAGAGAAAGAAAAGGTCAAGAAAGAAAAAGGTGACAAACGTGACAAGACAGAGGAGGTCAGAGAGTCCTACAGCCGCAGAGAGAGCCTACCTTTTGAGAAAGAGCCCATGCCCCTAGAAGCAGACCCTTATACTTTCCCTTACGGAGGTAAAGGAGATGGAGACGATGACTTTGAGAAAACATTGGAGTTTGAAAAAGAGATGTCCAAAAAAGACAAAGACAAAGCATCGGGTGTCATCAGTGACAGAATGAAGGACAAAAAGAAAAAGGAGAAACATAAGGAAAAAGTTAAGGAGGAGAAAAATAAGTACATCGATGGCTTTGGGTCATTCAAACACTCCAAAGAAGATGTAAAGTCAGGCCTGAAAGACAGCCCACAGGTCACCGTTCTCAAAGACAGGTCAAAAGAAGACAGTCCTAAATTTGATATGAAAAAAGACAGAAATCGGGATGTACTGGACAAAGACAACAGGATGGACCACAGCAAATCTAAGGCTAAGGATGAAAATGAAAAGATCACTCAGTCCAAAGACACAGTGAGGAAAGATAATCGTCCACGTGAAAAACTGTTGGTGGACGGTGATTATCAAATGACGAGTTTTGGTCAGATGTTGAGTCTAAAAGACCAGGAGATTGAAGAGCGCCACAAGAGACACAAAGAGAGGATGAAGCAAATGGAAAAGCTGAGACCCAAGTCAGGGGACCCTAAACTGAAGGACAAAACCAAGTCCACAGAGGAAGTAAGAAAGAACCGCAGTGAACTTTCATCGAAGAAATCCAACAGCCTGGAATCTGGTCTTAAAGAAAAGAAGCTGAAGGATGTAGGTATCCCAGCACAAATGATGTCTCCGGGCAGGAAGTTCCAGCCTTCGGACAGTCAAAACTCAAAGGACTGGCTGGGTGGACCCCAAATAAAGGAGCACCTCCCTGCGTCTCCCAGGCCGGATCAAAACAGGCCGACTGGTGTCCCCACACCGACATCTGTCATCTCGTGCCCCAGTTTTGAGGAAGTGATGCAGACTCCACGTACCCCATCATGCAGTGCAGAGGATTACCCTGACATCATGTTGGATGGGTTGGATTGTCAGAACTCAACAGCTATGACCATGTCAATGAATGCCTGCTCTCCATCCTTCTTTGAAAGGTATTTACACACACAAACAATAAGGCGGGGTTAATGTTGTGATCATTACAATGTTTTGTTTTCCTGAATGTGGCATATTTTCCTAATAACCTCTCTTTTCTCTTGTCCACCCAGCAGGTATTCTAACTCCCAGAGTTTCCAGGAAGGCACCTGCCCTACCCCTGCGAAGAACCTTCAGCTTTCACTTGTAAGCCGCTCTGCATCCTCAGATGTCCGCAGGCCTCTGGAAGATGAGTTCAAGGCCGAGGCTGACAAGTTCCTTCGACAGGAGACTGATCCAGAGGCCGACTTTGATCCACCCTCTGCCCAAACTCCAGAGGACAAATCAGCAGATAGGCTTGAGTGTCTGTCTTCTCCTTATTTCTCCCCAATGGGACTGTTGTCCCCTCGGCGGGAGCCAGCACATCCTACGCCAGATGTGGCAGCACCAGCTCTGACTGGTTCTGAGGGTAGTGAACACCTTCATGAAAGTGTATACAGCTTCTTGCCGAAACCCTCTACACCAGTTCACAGGCCAGACCCCCAGGAGCCCTGCTTCGACATCGCTGCACCACCAACACCAGCTCCTGCTGCTTTGCCACCCCTGGACATCGATGACATCTCTGAGCCTCACCACAGTGAACCTAACCTTGTCCTCTCCGATCTTCCTTCTGTCACAGAAGAACAGGAGCAGGAAGAGGAGGAAGATGAGGAGGAGGAAGATGAGGAGGAAGGCGATATGGACGAGAGAGCTGATGCAGACCACTGTTCAGTGGTGGAGCCTGAGCAAACAAGGGAGCCATGTTCCTTCTCCCCACAGGTTGAGGACCCTTTGAGGAAGAGCTGGCCTGCAGAGTCTCCAGACCGACAGGATCCAGAAGTCCATGAGCTTTCCCCTACACACTCTGCCCCTAACCAGGGAGAGAACTGTTTTGATCACAGCATGGGCTGGAACCCCGACATGGACCTCAAATCTCCCCACAGGACATACGGGGAAATAGAGGCTGCTGTCTCCAAAATAACCAGTCCTTACTCTCATTCAGAAAATGATATACTCCACTTGTCTGGACACCCCTCTGTCACTCCCCCCTATGCCAACTGGAACAGGTGGCACAAAGAAGAACCAGAGGACTTTGATGAGCAGAAAGAGGCTGTGGCTGACATCCCCTCCCCAGAGAGACGTGACTCAGTAATCGATGTGGAACCCAACTATCTAAACACTTCATCCTCCTCCAACAGGCTGGAGTCTTTCTTCCAAGACTGCAACAAACCAAGTATGGAGGATAATCACCAGATGGATGAAGAGTCAACATGTGATGAACCAGACAGCAGACAGAGTACTCACACTTTCAGTGCTACAAGTGAAGACATCATGGGTCCAACAGTGGGCCCGGAGCCTGTGGTGCCCTGGGCAGACCCATTCTCAGCTGAGACAGATGAGCTAGATGACCTAGGACCATTCTCCTTGCCTGAGCTACCACTACCTGACAAGTCAGAAGAAGCTGAACCTCGAGACCCTGAACCAACTGACCTCAACAAAACTGTGCCCATCCACATCCAACACAGTATCACAGAGAGAGATGACCCAGACATAATAGAGGTGGACCCTCCAAGCCCGGCTAAGACCACATGCCCTGCTGGAGACCTTAGTTTGGGAGAACCTACCGGTCAAGATTTGGTCGTTCCATCACCACATGCCAACTTCCAGCAGGACTTAGACCTTGAGCCTCAAAGTGTGCCAGTCAACAACTCTTTGTCTCTCATTCAACAACAGGAAAGAACAGGACCTTATGCAGAACCTGATGAGCAGGAGACTAATCTGTTGTATTCATCTGCAAATCCAGATGCCAGTCAGCAACATCACCTACAGATCCACTCCCTCACTGAGTCGCTGCAGTTACCCCTGGATTCAGTGTCTGCTGTCAAGTCAGAGGTGAGACTAGAGGAGATGTCTGAGCCTGTAACAGAATCTGTGACATGCAGTCCTCTTCCTCAGCTGCCAGTGGCAGTCAGCCTCTCCAGCACACTGGAACTACCAGACACTCAGGAGACCACATCCAAGCTAACACCTGTAACTGTGACCACTGTGTCCACAATTATAGACATCCCCAAGAAAGTTGATGAAATCCCACAAAGGATTACCCGCAATCGCGCCAAGAACAATCCCTCTGCTGCTGCTGTCCCTTCTACCTCCAGCATAATAACCTCATCTGCTACTGCCACCCCTGTAACAACCAGTCCAACAGCGAGCATTAATGTGATCCCCACTCGAACCCCAACACCCACCTCAGGCTCCTCCATCTCAGTTCTGAAGAAAGACAAGGAATCTGTGCTTCATGTCTCCCCTACTGCACCTAATTCAACCCCTGCAGTTTCTATACCTACTTCTGTGACAACTCCTGCATCAGTGGTTCTCAGTAAGACGACAAAAGGACGCCCTCTCCAGGTGGACGAAGAGGAGTCTCAGACCCAGCACCCGCGGAAGAGGAAATTTCCACGTTCTGCTGGGCAGCAGGTCCAGGTCCAGCTGGTAAACACGGCCATGCAGCAGACCAGGGAAATGATTCAGCAGACTCTGGCTGTTGTAGTAAATGCGATCAAACTTGACGATATCGAGCCCTACCACAGCGATCGTTCCAACCCGTACTTTGAGTACCTGCAGATCAGGAAGAAGATTGAGGAAAAGAGGAAGATTCTGTGTTACATCACCCCACAGGCCCCACAGTGTTATGCTGAATATGTGACCTACACCGGCTCCTACCTGCTGGATGGCAAGCCGCTCAGCAAGCTTCACATCCCTGTGGTAAATTATGCTGTCTTAACTTTTTCCCAGATTAAAATCAAAGTAGTGAGGAGTTTGGAATAAATGTCTGATTTTGGTAAAATTCCAAATTTCTGTATCCTGTAAAGACATTTATTTATTTATTTATTTGTATTTGTTCATCAGATTGCACCACCTCCATCACTGTCAGAACCTCTGAAGGAGCTCTTCAGACAACAAGAGGCAGTAAGAGGGAAGCTCAGGTTGCAGCACAGCATAGAACGGGTAAGAAATATACTGTCATGGTACATTTTATTATCTGGGATTATTCTCTCACCTTAATTTGCTGTTGGTCGGTTTATATAAATTTTCTTTGTTGTTTTACTGTTCACAGGAGAAGCTGATTGTGTCATGTGAGCAGGAGGTTTTAAGGGTCCATTGCAGAGCAGCCAGGACAATAGCCAATCAGGCTGTGCCATTCAGCGCCTGCACCATGCTGTTGGACTCTGAAGTGTACAACATGCCATCAGAGAGCCAGGTACAAATCGGTTGCAACACATGATTCATCAGATATCATTTTATCAGGGGTGGCAATGTTTTTATTTCATTCATTACTTAGTCTATGTTATAACTCGGTCTGTGTTCTCAGGGTGATGAAAACAAATCTGTGAGAGATCGCTTCAACGCTCGCCAGTTCATTTCCTGGATTCAGGATGTAGATGATAAATACGACCGCATGAAGGTAAATATCTACACTCTGCAGTGATTTAATATGTGCTGTGATGTCTTCAGTTACAGACATTGCTGGAACATCCTGTGTATGTACCAAGCATGTTTATTCTTTGCTTCTCCTCCCCCAGACGTGTTTGTTGATGCGGCAACAGCATGAGGCAGCAGCGCTCAATGCAGTGCAAAGGATGGAGTGGCAGTTGAAGGTTCAAGAGTTGGACCCAGCAGGACACAAGTCCCTCTGTGTCAACGAAGTGCCGTCCTTCTACGTGCCAATGGTCGATGTCAATGACGACTTTGTCCTGCTGCCTGCATGACACACCTGTGCTCACAGATAGAGCTCAAACTTTGTCTGAATCACTCCTTCTCAAAGAGACTTCGTTGAACAGAACGAATGGAAAGGGCTAGCAAGTTTGACAGAGGACTTTAGACAAGAAAAAATTATATTCTATAGAAAAAGTAAAGAGGAAAAACTTGCTCTTGATTCCCTTCCACGAAGAAGGAAACATGTTTTTACTGGGGAAAAAGAAAATACACAACTTGCACTTTCATCCTCAAACGTTTTTACGCTTTCATTTGGTCAGAGTGCGAGAAGCAGAAACAGTTTTTGCTTGAGGCCCTGACATCAGGACACAGCTCCTCAGTGCTCAGTTATGGTGAGACCGGGGACAGAGATATTTTTTCTGCATTTATTTTTAGTCCCTGCTTCAGTAGACCCACCACCACCACCACTGGGAGGTATCTGCAAAGAGTTATCTTAACAGTGTGGTGCCTGTCGTGAAGGAGGACTAAGGTGAAGCCTCCCCTGTTGATCCAGGGCTCCTGGTGGGCAAGGAGAACCAGACCGAGTCAGCGCTGGTCTATCAACAGGGTTGGGGTGCATTATGTGGATCTTCAATGTGTATCTACCCCAAGACAGCTGGGACAGACGGACCTGGGAGCCAGAACCATACGCTGATGGTTTGGGTTTATAATATAGTACACCCAGAGGACGCCGTTTCGGGTCACTGCACCAGCCCTGGCTGAACGGCAGCGCAACAGAGCCTGCAGCAGGTCAGAATATAGCAGAGGGTTAGCGATATGTGTACACGTCAGGGCCCAGTGTCTGAGGGGAAGAGACTGACCCTTCAGCCTCTCAGCCTGGCTTAACAGAAGAGGACAGGCATGGATCGCTGAGGACAGACCGGAGTGTTCCTCGGCCACCTTGTTTGCTCCGACACAAACACATCAGACCGCCGTGGACTGCAGAAACACCACATGACAACCAGAAGACACAAACATAACGAATGTTGAGACTCAAAGAGACTATTGAGAAATTGTGGTTTAGCAGGAGAGAAATATTGTTTTTGTCTATTTCTTTACTTGGGCATTTCATTGTTTCTGAGGAAGTGACTTGAAACACTACAGAGCCAATATTAGTTTAATGGAAAAAAAACAAAAGAAAACAGAAAAAAAGTTGTATTCCGTAAATTATGTACAGTTTTTATATTCGTTAACCAATGTATTCTTGCTGCCTTCTAGATAATTTATTTTGCCACACATTACTGCACAGTTGTAAATAACCTATGTACTGTAATATCACTCAGTTAAGTGTAAAGAAAAAACATAAAAGAAATAAAAATGATCTTTTTATGTACAGTTCACTTTTGGGCAGCACTTTCCCCCCCCTTCATATCCATGGGCCAAAATGTGTACACGATTCTGTCAGTATTTGAAAGACTCCAGTGCACAGTCATAAAATCCCATCTCTAGATTCAGTCCAGGCTTGGATTAGATGTTTCACCTGGACTCGGATCACCACAAAACACAAATAGCTGACAGAAAACATTTAACCAGCCTACCACAGGCCAACCACCATATAGTCCCTCGGATGTAGCAGAATAACTGTTGAGGATTTATTTAAAGAATAGACAGAGGAATATTATTCATTGCTTTACTACACAATTATATCTGAAAATTTTCAAACCAAGAAAATGCCTTTTTCAGTGAAAAAAATGTACTCATTGTTGGGCAAAGTCACATAGATATATATCAGTGGGCTGAAAGTTGGAGAGATGTCATTTACGAGCAATGCCATCGTGTTTATGTTAGTATGGTTTCATTTTTCTTGTTTTTACTTAACAAAAATTGGACTGAAAACATTTTGAATGATCACAAAACATTGTGTGAAACCAACAAGACACAGGTCTTTCAGCATTTTATTATATGTTCTGTTCTCCCAGCTTGTCTGTGTTTCACACGAAAAAGACTGAAGAGTTGTAACAGCTTTTGAAAGCTTTCATTCCACAGCATCTTCACGCAGTTTCTCGTCAGTCTGTCTGCCCCTCGGCCAGTGTTGGAGAGCAGCTTATTTCCTTGGTGCTGTTCCAATTTTACTCACTGGATGGCGCCAGTGGGTCTGCTTGTCGGAAAATACAAGAACCCTATTTGGCTTTGCATGAGACCTGTGGCCTTTAAAAACACTTTATGTTTTTAAATATATACCATTTTTACTACAACCCATAGAGAGCTAATTCTCTTTGTTTGGCCGTCAGTTAAATCATAATCGGCTCATGAACTATTTTTTATCCGTGCTTAATCTCAAAGGGGTTTTGTTTTGACGTTGTCAGGGATTATAACTGTTAGTCTACTTCTTCATATAACTCTGATGTGTGGGGGCATTCGTTATGATCAACACAGACAGTGGAGGGGGAAGATATAGCCTAATGCTAAACAGACCATTTGAAATCCCATTGAAATGTTGATTTGTGACGACCTGTATTGATTCTGTTTATTTCGTGGGTCTTGGTTTTGAAAAGCTTTCCCGACCTGCCACACAGCAGACGTTCTGTCTGTGTGTGAGAGCTGCTCACGTATCCTGATGGCAATATTATCTAAACCTTTTTAAGTTATTTACACACTGTCAGTCAACATAGCTGTGTATGGTATGTCTAGTGCTAGTGCAATGGTTGTTGCTATTACACTGTGCAGACAAGGTGGCTAGATGCATAGTCCTGGATAGTTTTTGACAGATCCTGGTTATACACACACACGCACACACACTTGGATTCATATAGCCAGAAATTTGGTTTCAAACCCTTGCTTGTCTTGATTTAGTTTTTATTTTGTTGTTGGTTTCTTACAGTTTTTTGGGATGAGGGGTAATGGGTGTCTTTTGTTCACAAAATCCTTGTGTGTTTTTTTAGCTCAGTGTTTGTAGTTTTGAATGTTGTTGTGTTAATCTTAGGGTTTTTTTCTCTTCCTAATTAAGACATAAACACCAGTGGCATGTCAATCACATTGCTTATCGAGCAGAATGTATACCGTTACTATGCCCTGACCGACAACACCCTCTCACTATTGTTTACAAGACATCAAGTGTGTTTCCGTTTCCTGCGTCACCTTTTAAACGGTTTGAGCCCCGCCTTTGTTTTAGTTTTTTTACTTCTGTAATGAGTCGTTTATTTGAACCACAAAGGCTTGAAATAGTGATGGTTGACATATAAGTAACATGTCATTTCTCCCCCCCGGTCTGCCGTGCTGCGACACGCAGAGCAATTGAGTAAAACACTTCCCACCGCGTCAATTCTCCAGTGTGAATATTCAACTGACAAAAAGATAGAGTTCTGGATCAAATTGAAACAAGACACAAAACACACGTCAGTCCTCAGATGCACAGTAGAGCACTTGGCCGTGGTGATACAGATGCTAGCCTGACACCACCTCAGTCAACAACATATTACCTCTACTCTCCTTACATTCACTCATAATGTTTATTTTAGATTTGTTATTTGCTGTTTTTTATTCTTACTGGACGTAAATATACATATTTGCTATTTTTTCATTATATAGAATCACGATTTCAAGCCTTTTTTTTCTAGTTTTCTTTTGTTGGTTTTCTTTGTTTTATTTTTTTAATTAAAACCCAGACTGTAGCTGTTTCTTTGTTCCTTTTTTAGAATGGAAGATGACTAATAAAAAGCATGGAGAACTACTCTTTAAATGGTGAGAAATAACCTATTTATTATCTTTTTGTTTTTTCTGACACCTGTGGTATGTTTTGTGTTGAAGTTGGTCTCCGCTGTGTAAATTTTCCTCCTTGTAATGCGTGAAAGAGACATACTGTACATAGCTCTGTAAATAAAACCTCCCAGGACGTTTTGCACCCTCCTCTTTGTACTAGTCTGAAAAATTGCGTAGAATGTGGGGTTCTAACAGCAACGGGCTGCGTGCGCTCGCTGCAGGTGATTATGATGTAACAATGTAACATTTTTTTATTTGTACAATGTAGTTTATTTGTGTACATATTGTTGGAGCAGCTAAGGGGGGGGGGGGGGTGAGGGGGCGGGGGGTTGTTGATGCTATCGTCAGTGCTGTAACAGAGATCCAGTACTTTCACCTCTAGCTGTTGTTGATTTCCTGCAAAAAAGACAAGTTTAAGAAAAAGAAAAGACAAAAAAAATAAAAACGAGAGAACCTGAAAATGAGGATGGATGGCAAAAAAAAAGACTAAAACTAAAAAGTAAAAATTCTAAATTGTTATTTTCTACAGTTGCATGTACAGAGAGCGCGAGAACTGCTGTTGTTCCTCAGAGATTATGTTCGTTAATAAAATTTTGAAATATTACCGGCTGCCCTCTGCTTCTTGGTTTCTGTGTTTGTCATGAGCCGTCTTGTACTAAAACTGCATCAATGCTGCCACTAATCATTTCTGACACACTCAAGATATCCACTCCTAAGAGAAATCAATACATTTAAGAATATACCTGTTAAGAGCATAACATCGATCTCTATATAATGTCTCAGAGACCTGTTTCTGTCGAGAGCAGGATGAGTCTGGTGTCAAGAAGCTGAAGATCGAGCATGAAAAACGTGTCGGTGTGAATGTTTGAAATTCTTTCTCTGCTGGATTTGGTCCATGAGGTCATCCTCTGGTCTGACTGTCTCTGGCTGAAATCAGATTTAACAGCATGAAGTTGTCAACAACGTTATTGTACCTTAATATAATTTCTGTGGTGGAATCCGGTCACCAAACATATTACTAACACATTCATGGCTTTTTCTCAAACTATAAACACATATGGACGAAGCATCTCCACTTCCTCCCACTATCCACAAATGAATCCATGCACTGGATATGCTCGACCAATCCTGAGTCAGTCTCAGCTGTCGGTCATGACGTTTCACCCTGTTCCTAGAGCATCAAATAACTCAAATCAAACTTACTTAGAAAATTATTTACATTTGAACATTAATCAGGGAGATAAGAACTTCCTCAAATGATCCATCCATTAACCTGGAGGAGGCAGGGTTTATCATGTAAACTGCAGCCACCAGGTGGTGATCGAGACGTTTTGGCTTCACTTTTGGGGAGCTGTCATGACGTCCATATTTATATATTCAGTCTGTGACTCATGCGGTAGAAACACCTGTTTGCTGTGTGTCACCATTTTTATGGGATATCATTTCTCACAAACACAAACCAGTTCTTTGTCACATGTTATATTTACTGTCTGTGAACGTTGCAGCTACTTTTCAGTGTAATTCGAGATTTCATGTTTCACATCTTGAGTCCAGTGACACGAATGAGTCACCTGGTGAAGTGGAAAACACGCAGACGTAAATAGCACTGAAGACACAAGTCCCAAACTGATCCACAGATCAAGTTAAAAACTTTACTTTAAACTTTACACGTCACTGAAATCTGCATCAACTGATGAAAATAAAAAACTCATATTAAACACTTGTACTAATTTACAAAACTCAATCAAAACAGCCTGGTGTGCAAATTAAGATTACAACATTTCATCACTACAGCTGGTACTAGTTGAGTAAAATCAGGCAGTGAAATAAACCACAATAAAATTGTACTTTTTGTTTACCAACTAAAAAGACAATACTTCATTTGGTAACACACAATTAATTAAGTTTGTTCAAATAAAAATGATCACTTGATAGTTTAACTTGTTAACTTTTCTCTGAATAAACCTAATATTAGATTAAATGCTCAGAATATGTTGTGGATTCATGATGTTATATTTGTATAACCGTAAATGCATTTGTCTGCTTTCTAAATTGTGCACAGTTAAAACACCAATAACTTCAACAACAACTTACCTTTAATAAAGTTTCAGAAGAAGTGCTTCACAAAGAGGAGAAATAAAAACAAGAAAACAAAACATCACGGACAACAAGCACAATAATGCAGTGTCATTTAAAATCAGCAAATGTTATAAAACTAAATCTAAATTTAAAGACAACACAAACATAATAAGACAACTTAAAAGTGAAAGCCAAAAAGTCTGAGTGCTTAAGTTTTATTTCCCAGCACTGTGAACTCCCCATGTTAATTATATAACTCAGTAAATTAAGTTTGGATTGAGGGGATGTTCAGAAGTGAGTCACGTCACGGGTTCAAACCCTGTCTCCTCCTCCTCCTCCTCCTCCATGTGTTACCTGCAGCTGCACCTCCTCTCTCAGGACTGTGCGCCCTCACTGCGCCATGGCCACGGACGCATGTTGCACGGCTCCTCTCCACATGGATTACGAGACGAAGATCTTCCCTCACACCGGCGGCTACGGACGCTACAACCGCGTCGTGGTCGTGTTCAGCTGGTTCCCCAACCTCGCGGTCATGCTGAACCTCTTCAGCGACGTCTTCTTCACACTGATCCCGGAATCGTACCACTGCAAGCCGGACCCGCAGCTGCTGCCATCCACCTTCCTCCTGAGCAACTTCTCCAGACAGCGCTACTTCAACCTCACCATCCCCTGGGTGATCGGCTCCGGCCTCAGCCACTGTGAGCTCTACAAGTACCCGGCCAACACCTCGGAGCTCTCAGACACCGTGCCCAGGGAGAGGGTGTCCTGCACCCAGGGGTGGGAGTACAGCCACTCAGCGGGGCTCCAGAGCAACTTTGTCACCGAGGTAAGGGACTGATCCCCCCGCAGGTCTCAGTCAGGTCTGTGGATCAGATGTGGACCTCTTAAATATCTCATTCATCCAAAGTTGTGTGGCTGAAGTGAGCTTCCACTGGATAGAGCTTTTTAGGTTTTCGTTTCATCCACTCAGTTATAAAAGTTTGTCTGAGTCACTTTTAAAGTTGGTGTTATGTTCTGACCCTCCACCAACATGTTGGTGCTGATCACTTTCCTCACACAGGGTTTTATCAGTGTGGTGTGGAAGATGGCTGTTCACAGCATTCAGTCAATATTTGCTCAGGCTGAAGCCTTCAAGCTGTTTTAACTCTCACTGATCTGCAGTCAGTCTCTGGGTCATTCTGTGGAAACCCAACAGTGCACACACGACTCTTCTACCAAACACTGCACTGATATTCATGAATAATACTCAGTATCTACTTGAGAATTCAAATCAAATCCAAAGTGAAAAGACAAAATGAAGTGTTGTATAGTTTTAAGTCAACGCCCCTTTTAGAACTGTGGCACTCAGACACCGGCAGTTACTTTACATTCCGATCAAATCATAGATGTGAGTTCCCTGAATCTGCCTGGTTTTATCATCAAGATTCATGAATTATTACCTGAGAAATCAATGGACATTTTTTAAGGTCTCAACCTTAAATGATTGGTGATAAAAATTGAATTAATTTGTCCCTAACATCCACTTACCTTTTTTTCCCTTTGTTTTTATTGCCATGTATTTTGTGAAGCACTTTGTAACCTTGTTAAGATAAGTGCTACGCAAATAAAGTTATTTTTATTATTACAAATGTCAAAATCCTGCATCCGCCCCCTGATCTGGAGCTGCACCACAATTTAACATGCTCTCTCCTGACCTCTACCACCCCCTCCACCAGGTTACATGGTAGTCTGTCCTGTAGTTTTTGTGAAGCTGTGTTTGTAATCTGTCAAACAAAAAATCCAAACCAACCAACAAACTAGAATGACACTGGGGAGAGCTCGTACCTCCACCGAAGCCCAACTTCAAATTTAATCAGGCTGCAACAACTTTCAATCACTTGTAAATATAAGTTCCCTAAATGTTCAAGACCCATGAATGAATCTCTGAGAAGTTAAACCTTGCAAAGTTGAAGAAGGTGATAAACAAACAAACTGGAACCGTCCTCTGCTTCGGATCCGCAGCAGAATTGAATGGATTCTATCCGATTCCTCCACATCCTCCCCCGAGGAATATCATTAGTGCTTTTTGTGTCATCCTGTTTACCAACAAACCAACAAACAGATAAACAGACGTAAAGATGTAAGAATCCGAGGTGACATTAGGTTTCATTGTGTTTGTGTCACATTGTGCAACATGTGTAAATAAGCAGCAGAAACATGTTTATCTTTTCACTGGTCTCGTGCTCCTCACTGATCCACCCCAGTCTGCAAATACTGATAACAGGTTCTCACATAAACTGTCTCAATGCGTCATCACACAAAAAAAACACACGAGGGTTTGATGCAGTCTCTGAAGCAGAGTCATTATGGGTAATTGCCCCTGTAGCTCGTTGTCAGATCATCTTCAGTGTATCGTGGATCCAGGGAAATAAATATCCGGCAGCAGGGAGAACCTTTCCTCCTTTTTCCCCCGTGACGCGCTGTGGCGCTGGGAAGTCTGAGGCCACCATGCTCCTTCCTGAGTCAACACGTCCTTCACCAACTGCAGCTTCCTCTGAACCTGACATCCCTCAACAGGCCAAAATTAAAAGGCACATAGCGTTCTCATGCAGGAACACCTCAGTGTCCTCCTGTAGCAACTCAAACTGGTGTGAGGCGGACTTGTTGATTCAACTGGATGTTCATGTCCGAGGCGACTGTTTACAGAATGCATGTTGGCCAGAATCTGCGTGAGACCACTCCCCTTCTTTACTGAAGTCTCTTGCATTAGTTTAGAATATGCTGTCATGTTTCTCAGACTTGATACATGATGAAGTTTCAGTGTTTTCACCAGCAGCTCCACATTTTTGTAATGTTTCTTATTATTTGTGTTGCCTTCAAAGGCCCCTTTAAAACCGGTTAATCGTCAGACCTGCTAAAGTTGACAGTTACTAATCAGGTGCTGAGACTAATCTTCAGTCACCAGAAAAAACACTTTGGGTAAATGATCTGAGTCAGTTTATCTTTTTTCCCTGTGGAAGGTTTATGTTGGGGGAAACAGTATTTGAATAAACTGCTTGTGTGTGGATATCTTTACTTTATTATATTCTTAGATTAGTCTCTAGCGGGGGACATGTTTCTACCTTTGTTTGAAAGCACAGTGAATGAGAAAACTGGGTGAATTCTTCAACATTTGGATCTTGATGAAACAAATCAGGCACATTTATGGGACTGATTTCTCTGAGTGTGTGAAATGTGGTGCGGTTGGATTGAATTTAAGCGGACTGATGGTGGAGGTACGAGCTCCACTGAGTGCTGTTCTAGTTGATCGTGTTTTTTCCAGTGCTGTTATAGAAACGGTACCAAAATAACACTTTTTAAATAGACTTAAACTTTTTTTTATATTCAAAACTCTGTATTAACAAAGGCAGTGACTCAGGTGTAGATCAGCTGTCACTGACAGGCTCTACTTTGAGCTCCACTTTGTTCTAATGTAATAACAGTCAGCAGATATTTAACTCAATTAGAAAGGACATGAGCTACATTCCTGCTTCCTCACACAAATCGCTCTGTGTGACTCCACTGGTCGCCTGCTGTTCTCAGCATTCTGTGTCGTCAGATTACCATGAATGCAGCATGTTGGTGACGGTGTGTTCATCTAACATATGAAATTAGGTATCGGCATTTAAAATCTGTTTTACACATTTCCAATATCGTCGTCTATTTTCGAAGCACATTAGAAGTCGTTAGTTTGATTCGGCTGATGCCAATTAACCTGCTGAGACTTGAAGTTTATCGTTAAACACATGAAATATGAAAGAAATTATGAAAGCTAATGTCAGATTGTTGGTGTCAGCTGCTTGGAAACAGTCAATTCTCAATGAAAGTTTGTGAAAGATTAAAATCCAGAGGAAACAAACGTGACGATGTTTGGCAGCTCAGTCTCAAATCTCAAAGCCTGATATTTCTTTTTCCATCCAGCTCATTTCTGCTGCTTATCTGACTTCATGTTGTTATGGCAGCACATCAAGTTCTCCAGACGCCCCCCCCCCCCTCACGGCGGCAACATTTTCCAACTCCTCCTGAAGAATCCAGAGGCGCTGGACTAACTCATGATTAGTTTTGTTTTGTATTCATTTAATTAGTCCATAGAGATTGAATGTCACAAGCCTGTTCTGTTTTGATAAAATGACAAATTCAACATGTGAAAAAAAGCTTTCACCTGTTGATACAAAAAACTGCTGATCCCTCTCTACCACCTGGAACAGTTTTTATTTAAAGCCAACGAAATAAACAGACTAAAGAAAATGGCAGCACTGTCTGTTTTTAGTGACATTTTTGTCCCGGTTAATTTTTTTTATGTTTGTCGTCCTCTGCAGTGGAACCTGGTTTGCAGCGACTACTGGAAAATCCCTTTGCAGCACATCTGTTTCATGACAGGGTGGATTCTGGGATATATCTTCCTCGGTACATTATGTGACTGGTAAGTATTGATCTTGTTTTAATTGGACCACCAAGGTAAAAAAATACACCAGAACATTAACTTGTAAATATTTTTTTTCTATCAATGAACCAACTTTGAAATAATTGACAAAATTAAACTACAGCTACTCTCGGACATGAACTGAACTTGGGACATGTTCCTAAAATGTTTTTGACATTTTGCAGAGGGGCTGCATGTGAGAATGCAAATATCCAAGTCAGTTGCACTGGACATTCGAGAGGTTTTTGGAATATGGGCCAGCACCAGTGTTTATGTGTTGTAAGGAAAAAAAAATGTCTGCAGCTGAATGAACTCCTGCATGCTCCACCCAGGTGGTGCCACCGTCACCTGAACGTTCCAGACATTTTCCTGTTGTTGTGAACGCATCTCATTCAGACAGTCTCCTGCTGCGTTCTTCATATGTGACAGGAAAACTAGAGAAAATGTCCGGACTCAATTTTCCAGACATTTTCCAGAGCTAAAGAGACAACTTGAACAGACCTGAAGTTACTGAGGAAACAACCATTATGAATTAAAAACACTTGTCACATGTGTGTGGGATGACAGCATGTGCACCATGTGTGTTTGCAGGTATGGTCGTCGGCGATGTTTCCTCCTCTCCATCGCTCTGTCCAGTCTGTTGGGGGTCGCCGTGTGTTTGTCCACTAGTGCTGAGCTGTTTCTGCTGCTGCGTCTCGCTCAAGGCGCCGTGCTCGCCGGGGTGCTCCTGTCCTCGTACATCACCAGTGAGTATCCTGCGGCCTCATTACGTAAAAAAAGCTTCCCTCAGCTTCTCTGCACTCAGCCGCTCACCCCTGTGTTTACTTTAGAGAGCACTTTAGGATTCCTGCTCTTCAGTCATAAGCTGGCACCGTGTTTCTGCAGATGTCATGCTCTATTTTAACTCCATTTCTCACTGTGATTTGAATTTAGACAAATGATATAAAAGTAAATGTTACTGAAAATAACTTTTGGAATTAACAAGATTGTTTTCTGTTCATGAGGAAAGAAAATCAAAACAGAACAGAGAGTTTTTCTCAAGTGAATACCATTTTCTTTTCAGTAGCATTTACTTTTATCTCATTAAAACATCAGTTCATCTTATTAATCCCGAAACATAGAACAAAACACACTATGTAACGTGCAGACGCCCACAAGTTTCCTGAGTGGAACCGTCCTTTAACCTCAATAACCAAACATCTTGGTCTCATATTGTTGAAGAATACTGTCCTGATTATATAGTGAGGTATCTTTTTAGGATTTAGCTGCAGCCATCGTGTGTTTGGTCCAAAGAGAGCGATTATACATAATATACGTTTTCTCTGTTATATAAATGTTACATAATGTTAATATTGTAAATTCCTCCCTTGTGATCCCGCGTGTAAAATTAAATGTATCTTAATGAGTTGGATTTCCCTCAGAATGGAAACATCAACCCAACCGACAGCTTCTGATGTAAAACCTTTCTACCTTTAACGAACTAAGTTATCTAATCAGTCAGAGATATGAAAAGTCTCACTGTGCACTTTACAGAAGCAAGTTAGAAAATCTGCTTATCTTGTGAAGTTTTATTCCTGACTGCTCTCTTTCCCCACTGTGAGTACATTATCTTATCTTATCTTACTGTCTTATCTTTATGTCACGAAACACAAACAACTGAAGTCAGACTTTTTATTTGTGAAAGTCAAGAAAGACAGTTTGATATATAATAATTTACCAGTGACGGCCGGTTAGTTTTACCTTCTGTTGATTTCACACCACAGGAGACTGTAACGGTGTCTCTCTGAATACTTCTCGTCTGCTTTCTAATCATTAAGCTTTTAATAAAACTTTATTTTTTACATTAAATCAAACATATTAGATATCATAACGTATTTTAACTTGAGAATTGCCTTAGCATCTCTGTAGCATGAGGAACAATTTAATTACTTTGATCAGACCCACGAGTCAGATAAATGATCAGATTATCATATTAATGTTTGGAACAACGTGGATGTGGGTGAATCTGAGGATAATCTGAAAAATGGCAAATCAGCATCGAGAATAAGGTAAAACTATCAAAGAAACTCAGAAACCTCAGAGAGCATCATATCAGAGCATATTATACTGTAAATAAAAAAAAAGGTTGGCCATCAATCATACAAGCATGACCGTTAAAAATGATAAAAAAATACAGTTATCAATTTCTAAGTGTTTTTAACCCCTCGTCCTATACTGAGTCAGACTGTCAGTTGAACTGCATTAAACTTGGAGGAAATAGCCGAGGCTCAAACACACCAACCTAAAGCACAACATGTGACCACTGGGGCTTTTCTCATTACAAGCAAATTAAAGCAAATACTTTAGTGATCAAACTGAATCGTTGGAACATTTGCACAACTCTCTTTAGTTCAAAAATCTGTTATCAGAAGCAGTTTTGATCTCTGGTCACACTGCAGCTGAAATAGGTTTTGACAACAGAATCTTTGGATCTACAGAAAAAGCAACCTTTATTTCCACCAAGCTAATAATCAAATAGTGATTGAAATAATCAAAATGACATTGGGAATTTAGAAAAACTATTCTATATCTATTTGGGTCATTTCAAACCCCTGCATGTATACATGTACAGGATCATTACCTCGTAGTGTAAAACATGTATCTGTGTTAATGGGAAATATATTTTGATCACAAACATGCAGAAGGAGCTTGTTCGTGGACGTCTTGTTTTCTGGTTGCATCTTCTTCACTTCTGACTTTGAGGAATTTCTTCAAATTTTGACCCGTTTTCACTTGGACTTAAAGATGAGCTGATTAGATTTCAGTAGTCAAAGGTCACAGTGACCTCATATGAGTGGAAAGACGTGTGTGTCCACTGAAACTGCTCTGGTTATTGAACGCATACTACTGCAGGGTCGTATTTCTACTGTGTTCATAGAATCTTAACTCGATGACAGACCGTCTGTTGCCATTGGCTACAAGTTAGAGCAGATGAGATACAGACTTGGATCACTGTTTTTCACAGGTGTGTGTCTGACTTTGTGTGTGTGAATTTCAGCTGATGACTAACTGTGTGTGCGTGTGTATGCGTGTATGTGTGTTTGTGTGTCGTGCTGAGCCATGCCTGGCAGCTGGTTGGTCTTTATCTTTTATCTCAGCTGTCATCTTACAGGGTTTCAACGTCTCTGTGACGAATCTTTAGCTCCGTGCCGCTGTCCTGACTCTCTCTGTGACGAGACGTCTCTGACTGGTAGAGGAAACATCGTGTATCCCCACCACCCTGCTTGTTTTATTTCTAGAACTGTCTAACACCAGAGTGAAGCAGCATGGGAATGTAGTTATGTGAACAGCACACATTCCTGTGTGAGAGGAGGGGATACTGGGTAATGGAGGGTCCCATCTGAAACACACGTTTTCTGCTTTTAATCAAATGAGACCACACTCCCACATTCCTGCGAGGTCAGGGAGAGAGTGAGTCCCGATTTTCTTTCCTCAGTGATGTCCTGCCAGCATAACTCGTCCACAGAGAGGAGGAAACAATAGCAGGACAGAGCTCAACAAGAGAGGAAGTGAGCAGGAAGTGAGCTCCTCGTTTGCCTTCTCCACCGAGAGGAGCTAGAAACAGAATCACAGCTGTGGAGGGAAGGAGGTTAAAGTTCAGGAGAAACTGGACACGCTCACAAACAAGTTTACTTCAGTACCTGAGTCTGGAGTTCGTTATCTCCTTGCTTGCTGAACCTTGCATTTGTGTTTATTTTCAGATAGTGTGCAGATTCTAGCTTTAAACCAGCAGACTCAACACTATAGGAGATTTGATTGTCCTGTGTTGCGTAACTAAGTTAAGTCCGGTTCTCATAGAGATGCAGCACTTCCTTTTCTTCCACAAATCTACAAAAGCAAATGAGGGACTAGTTTGACTGTCAATAATTATTATGCTGTCAATGTAACTCATTTTATTTTGGTTTCTTTTTGTATTTAAATAGAAATCTACTATAAGTGAATTTAAAATCCATGAATCCTTCACAGAAAATGAAGCGTTTAGAAGTGTCAAAAGATCGAGTGAGTTCAAGACTGTTTATAAAGCTGGACAATGCCTCTCCCATTGTGCAAATATGAAGTCAAAATATCCTGGGTACAGGTCCCGCCCTCTCTCACTTGGACATCATTTGAAACCAGAGTCTAAAAGATCACTGGAGATGGTGGTGAGCCCCGGTATCGAACAGTCAGACTCAGCTGTCAATCATGAGGTTTCCCCCCCAAAGGTTTTTATTGCATCAAACAACTAATTACAACCAGAAACCTTCCAGAAGAAAAATCAGCACTTGAACATACATCAGTGCGAAAACAACTTAAAAAGACAGAAACCATCTGACTTCTCAGTTTGGTCCATGTTCCATCCATTAACATAGAGCTGGCTGTGTTTATGGCCTATACTGCAGCCAGCCACCAGGGGGCAATCAAGATGCTCTTGATGCTCACTTCAGGGTCAGGCTAATCTGTGCTGTAAAAGATTAGACAGTTGGCTAATATTTAATAATTTCAATACAAAATAAAACACATCAATAACAGCCAGTAGTTATGTGTGTGTAAGGTTTCGCGTTTCGACAGGAAGTGGTTTGGTTTCGGACAAAAGGAATTAGTTTTCCTGTTATTTCTCCACTGACGTTTGTCTCTCTCCTCTCAGGGTTGGAGCTGTGTGATCCTCCCCATCGTCTCATGGTTGCCATGGTCAGCGGCTTCTTTGCCCTGTTTGCAGAGCTGCTGTTGCCGGGTATCGCCGTTTTGTGCCGAGATTGGCCCATTTTGCAGGCTGTGATCACGCTGCCTCTGCTCCTGCTGCTCTCCTATTGGTGGTGAGTCAGACTGCAGAATTTACACATCAAATACACGGCACGCACCACACCATGTGCGTATAATTGGTGGAGCATTAAACAAAACTCAGTTAGTGTCTCATTGAAACTAAGGCAGTTTTACACACACACACACACACACACACACTTATTATTAAAGCATTCTTAGGTATTATAAATGAGCAAGGATAATCTCAGTCTTCAGAGTGAGCAGGGGCGATGCAACAACAGTAAAGCAGTGAAGTGACTGGGCCCCAGAGAACGGCTCTCACTTTATGCAAAAAGCGTTTGTAAATTGAGTTTGTTGAAGATTAAAACTAAATGTGTGGGTGTCTGATGTGCCTGGGATGGTGGTGTGTGTATTCATTTTACTGTTGTTTACCTGCGTGCTCAGTTTGCACTTTGTTTGGTTTGACTGGAACGATCCCATTAACCTCAGGCCTCCAGAGTCCTTTGAAACGCTTCAGGAAGTGAGTGTCTGTAGCATCATTTGTATATGATAATGAGTCTTATCTACTCTTTACTTTGCATGAGTAACCTATAACCTATAAAGCCTGACCCTAGTCAGTGGTTACCACTGTGGCCTCAAATTAAGAAGGTTATTTGTTGGAATCCCGGTTCTTTGTGTGCATGTTCTCCTCGTGTCTGTATTCACCAGGAACTCTGATCTTGAGATAATGGATGTTGTACCAGTAGACAGACAGATTAGATTTAGAAACCCATCCTTTTCGATGTTAGACTATTTGAGCTCTGACAACAGGATTTGTTTTGCTCAGCTGTGCATCAGTTTTTCCTGAGTCTCCTCGCTGGCTGCTGGCCACCGCTCAGATCCCTCAGGTGAAGAGGAGCTTCCAGGAATTTTCCACCAGAAATGGTGTTTGTCTGCGAGACGAAATCTACCCCGGTGAAACTGTGCTGTCAGGTACTTACACTCACACACACACACACACACACACACACACAGAGAGAGAACTTTGGCCACAGTCATCAAACTTTACTTGAAGTAATTTATTTCATTTGTTGCATAAACTCGCAAGAAAATAAACATCTCTCATATCTAGACATCATTTTATACAGAGCCAAAGACATAAGGGTTTTTCTCCTACATTGACAGACCACTCAAAATTTAAGATTAAATTTGTAAAATGGTTGAATCCCCTTCCCCCTCTATTTTAGAGATAGATTCAGCATATGGGGAAGACTGTCGCCCGAGCTACCACTCAGTTCTGGAGCTGCGTGGGACTCGTGTTATCTGGAAAAACTGCCTCATCCTCAGCTTCACTCTGTGAGTTTTTCATCATGTGAATCCAGATGAAATCTTTCTCACCTCACTGATTTCCCAATTGAATTGTCCCTTTAAAGATGGAAAGTGAGATGATGATGTACGACTCAAGAATGATTTTTAAGCTTTGAGTCACACGATGTGTTTAAAGCAGATCCGGTCTCTTGTTTCTGAGGTTTCCCTCCCTGGTCTCTCTCCTCCAGGTTGATAGGAACAGGCATTCAGTACTGTTTCACCAGAAACCTGCACAGTTACTCCACCAACTTCTACTTCAGCTACTTCCTCAGAGTCATCACCGGAGTGCTGGCCTGCATCTTCATCTGTTTGTCCGTCAATCGCTTTGGTCGTCGTGGTATTCTCCTGCTGTCCGCTATCATCACCGGACTGTCGTCACTGCTGCTGCTGGCCCTCACTCAGTGTAAGTCACATCTGTAGTCACGTAATATTTTACTTCAACATTCACACTTCATTTCACTTATTGTGAAATGATCTATATATCATAAACATATAATTCTTGTATTCACATCATATTGTATACTATACCTGTGTATAAACAGTATTTATGTTAGTCTATACATATATAATTCAAATTTCCTTATGAATATACACAAATACAGCACACTTCCTACATATCTGTTAATTCTGATGATTATTAAATTATAATATATATATATATAGTACCACAGTAAAATTATATACTAAGAATATAAAGTGTATATATATATAAATTTGAACAAACTCTACAAATCAGTTTCTCATTCTCTGGTTCTATATATCCTAGATTCATATTGAAAATAAAATGTTTCTGGGGTTGATGACAGTTTGTCCTCTCTGTGTGTCAGACCTGCGTGGAGGCCTGGTGTTGGTGTTCTCTGTCGTGGGGCTGCTGTTCTCTCAGGCTCTCGCTATGCTCAGTGTGTTCTTCGCCTGTGAGGTGATGCCCACTGTCATTCGGTGAGTGTCAGTTTATCCAGCACTGTTTAAAAACTTAAGACACTAAGTCAAGAAGTTTCCATGAAAGAAACAAGTATTGAATTGATCTCACTAAGAAGCAATCCCTATGTAATTGAATAAACTGATGAATGAATGTTCATCCATGGCTAAAAATAGTCCTCAACAATTTTAGAAGATTCAAATTTCCTGTTTGGATTTTTCATGTTCTCAGTTTGTTTGCATAGTTTTCTCTGGGTACTCCTGATTCCTTGTGCAGCCCGATAGAGATCAATAGAGAACACTAAACTGTGCTTGGTGTGAATGAATGTTTGTCTCTGCCTTCTGTCAGAGGTGGTTGCCTCGGCCTGGTGCTGGCAGCGGGATGTGTCGGCATGGCCGCCTCCTCCCTGATGGAGCTCCAGAACAACAGCGGCTACTTCCTCCACCATGTCATTTTTGCCTCCTTCGCTGTCCTCTCCGTCCTCTGCATAATGCTGCTTCCTGAAAGCAAACGCAAGCCGCTCCCAGACTCCCTGAAGGAGGGCGAGAACCAGAGGCGGCCTCCGCTCTTTCTGTCCCGGCCTGACAGGGACAACCTGCCTCTGCTGTGCACCCGACCCCCTCTGTCGTCGTACAACCCAGACAGCTATTCCCGCTTGGTTTCCGCCACCAGGAAGATTTTGACTAAAGAGAATTTGCCATATCGGATTTCTGTGCCGGCTCACTCCCCTCTGCTGTCGAGCAGTGAAACCCAGGGCCAAGACAATGAGATGCAGAGGGTGGTTGTTTCTTAAGAACCTCTGGATCCTCCTCTGTGCAAATGTGGAATATCCCTCCTCCTTCTTACCTCTGATGGTTTACCTTCATCCTTTAGTGAATTGTTTTCTCAGGCACTGGATGCTCATAACTCTGCAGAAGAACTGGCCTCAGCTTGGATGCGTTGCGCTTGAGAGCGATAACTCCAAGTTTGTTTTCAGCGAAATCCCAGTATCTTCCTGTTGTGTCTTACACTTGAACTTGTTACAGTGTGTTGATATTTACTCCTGTGGATTCGGCTCTTTTGGGGTCTAGAAAAGTCTCATCTGAACTGTGACTGTGCAAGTTTTCTCTTTGTGTTGTATATTCCTTTTTTTAAATGGTTAACACTCCTCTGGAAAGTCCAGTTGAGGTCACGCTGCTTGTTTCTCATTTTTTTAGTTTTCCCAGAGAAGCTGGCTCCACCGTGCAGCTGCTGTAAATCATCATGGGATCATGTGAGCATCAGCCCTTTGTCCATTTCTTAGCAACTCATGCACTTTTCATTAAGTCTATTCATCTGATTCACCAGCAGTGTCTCTGCTGAGAGGAAACACAAGAGTGGTTAATGCTGTCATCGTGGAAGTCTTGTGTTATACCCAGGAAGCACACAAGAGGGTGCTAAAGTATATGCTGGTCACTGGCACAAGGGATCATTATCCTACAATGAGACAATCACAATATATTTTTTATCGATAAGAATAAAACTTAAGTCCAATAAATATATTGATATATGTCGTGTGTGTTGTGCCTGCACAGCGAGGAGGTAAAACACATCATTCATCTACCTCAGACTCTGCTCGTAAAGAAGAGTTTAAAACCACAATCTTCACTCAAAAACAAAAATCAGTGTTTGAATGAAACAAAATAATAATGTGACAGTCGTGATAATTATCAATATCGATTTGATATCATTTTTTTACTTTATTGCCCAGCCCTAATTTATTCCTTAACTTATCCCTAACAAGCTCTGAAATCAGAACGTTTCACTTCACAGAGTATTGAACTCAATGTGGAAAATGAACAGCACGTACAAACCAGATGATGGTTGCCAACAGTTTTTTCAAAGGGTTTTTTTTTTATAATAGCTTTCTCTGTTGAAAAAAAAAAGTTACATTTGCAAATGAACAGACTGTAGCTGGCAGACAAAACGTGAATCCCCTCTCAGTCCTGTGGTTCTGTCCTTGAATTCATATTTGTTAAATTTGACATTGAATTTCTTTTAATGGTTTCATCTGTATTTAGTGTGTGTGTGTGTGTGTGTGTGTGTGTGTGTGTGTGTGTG